TTGAAGGTGGGAAAGCTTTGGCTGAAGCTCTTAGTATAAATAATACTCTAACTTCTTTACATCTTGATAATAATCGATTCGGTTTTAAAGGGCTTCGAGTTATTCCATGGCTTTATAATCTTCCACCAAATGACAAGCATTATTATCCTCTTTACGTAAAATGTATTGAATTAGATATTCCATTTTTTACACAAGTTGGACACACAGGACCATTATGTCCATCGGAAACAGGAAGACCAATTCCTTATATTGATGAAATCGCACTTACATTTCCTCAATTAAAAATTGTTGGAGGGCATATTGGTTATCCTTGGACAACTGAAATGATTAGTGTTTGTTGGAAGCATCCTAATGTATACATCGATACTTCGGCATACCTTCCTCGTTATTATCCACAAGAACTTATTCATTATATGAGTACATATGGTCAAGACAAAGTTTGTTATGGTACAAATTTTCCTCAACTTGGTTGGAAAGATACAATGAAACAAGTAAATGAATTAGGATTAAGTGATCAAATTAAAGACAAATTTTTGTATAAAAATATGGCAAAACTGCTTAAATTAGAAAACAAGGCAAAATTATAAAATTATTTATTTTTAAAAAATAATACATGTATATGCACAAATTATAAATATATAAATATATAATTATATAATTAGTATACTCAATAAATATTTAGTAAAACGTGAACCTTTTTATGTAAATCATAAAATTTAAAGTGACAATAAATTTTATTTTAGGAAATTAAAGTATCGATACGTATAAAATTTTCAAATTTAAATAATTAAGGAAGTTAGAGTAGTGTTTATAAAAAGATTATTTTTTAAAATTTTTAATTTTTCCGAACTAATGTTATTATAACAAAGATTTAAAGTGGCTAAAGTAGTATTTTTATAAAGAGCCTTCGCCAACGCTTTTCCCTCTTCAAAACCAAGTTGATTAAAATAAAGACTTAAAGAATTTAAAGTAGTATTCGAATAAAGAGCTTCTGCCAATGCCTTACCACCTTCAGAACCGAGTTGATTACAAGAAAGATTTAAAAAAGTTAAAGAAGAATTCACACTAAGAGCCCCAGCCAATACTTTACCACCTTTAAAACCGAGTCGATTATTATCAAGATGTAAAGAAGTTAGAGTATTATTTATACTAAGAGCTTCAGCCAAAGCTTTCCCACCTTCAA